TGACCTCTTGACCAGGTGACTCTTGACTGAGAACATATAGAGTTTGGTGGTTAATGTGGAGTCTCCAATTAAAGTCTCTATACATGTCATTATTATATTAATATATTAAATAACTTTATTTTGATGGTATGATTACTGAAAGATGATATAACTTATAATAGCATTTGACAAAAACAGCTGAGTTATCACAGCAGAGCATCATAACGTACACTGACCTGTTTCATCACTCTGTGGTGATGCCTGTGGAAGAGCTGCAAAGTTTGACAGTGCAGTTATTGACCTGGACTGTACAATATTTTAATCTGTAACACTTAATATGTATAATACTCACCAGCAGTCAGAGCCATCACGGCACAAACAAGTGCAGACACAGTCAGAATCTTCATGGTGGAATGGATGAGATGATGATTACCTTTAATACAGAGAGACAGAAATGTTACTGATACTTCTGTAAGGAACAGACGACCCGTACTGAGAGTTTGTTGCAAACCTGCTGTAGAGTTACCTTTGTCTCGCCTTCACTTCAGCTTGGAAGCACTGAATAGAAGAGACACCAGCTCTTATATACAGCTACTTATGTTGTCATCCCTCAGAAAATAGGGAACTAAGAACTTGCTCAGAAATAACATTGTCAGACTTATGGTTAGTGAAGACATACTAGGTCAAACTATACTGGCAAGCTGTACTAGTGAATTTAATTATTCTTGAGTTTTGAGATTCTCTGTAACAATAATAAAAAGTAATCCTTTCTTGATAGACATATTGTTTTGTTATAGACCATCATTGCTTCTTAAAACTCAACTGTGAGCCTTTCCATTTTCCTTCAGCTGCCTGACAGATTACTTTAATCTCATTAACACTGTGATTGTTTACCTATCGAGATATTCTGTCAGTCAACCCTTTTCTAACCTGTATATTTCAACCATGTCATGTAAGAGAGTCATGGCTGTATGAGTCAGGTTATTTCACAATATTGATTCAATCATATTGCTTCAGCCCTGTCATCTACGCTTCATTTTAATTTCCTATTTTAGTCTTGCTTAAAATTAGGCTGGCATCAAAATGCACACATGTATGATCAGAAATGTAAACGTTTTTTCAAAGATCATTTTTTATAGCCTTTATTAGACATTAGCTGTCGAGAAGAGAAAGGAAAGTGGGGGGCGAGAAGGAGGGGTGACATGCAGCAAAGGGCCAAGAATGTTAGCATGGCTTCATTTACATGTTCAAAACTCAGGAAATAAAGGTAAAATGGGAGAGATAGAATAAAACAATAAACACAAATAAAGAAAACATGTGCATCTCTGTAAAAGGCAAACTGACTGCATATGTGCTGCAGTGGAGCCCAATATCTAAAATAAAATACTCAGCTGTTGATGGTGGTTTTTGTTATATTTTTTAAATATCACATTCTAGTTCACTAACTGTATTTAGAAAGGCTCTTCATACTTATCTATACTCTATTGTCCATCATAAAACCAAGGAACAGAAGGCCTTCAAGGATGAGTTGCAATATGCAAAACATTCTTCACACGGTGACTAAGCGTATCTCATGGAGCAGAGATAACATAACTTCTGTTCTGAATTCATTTGCTAAATTTTTTATTGGTTAAAAACGTACTAAGAAACTATACTAGATATTAACTTTACTGGTTAATTGATAGCCATGACTATATTTGTCACAGGGCGGAAGTTGATTTTATTTAAGCATGCTTTTACTTTGGATTTGTTGTGTTTTTAGTATTTGCTGTGTGGTGTGTGTGTGTTTTATGTTGGTTTTACTTCCGCCACGGAGATGTACCTTAATCAGGTTAAGGACTTGCACCTGGGGACCAGAGAGTTTTAGATAAAAGGACACGATGGGAAGACCTCGGGTGCACGAGGAGGAGACAGAGGGCACAATGCCCGGACAGCAGAAGCAGACCGAGGACGGAGCATCTCACCGGCCTGGGAGAGGTCTGAGGAGACACTGGAGTAACCGCAAACACCGACCGCTAGCGGCTACAGTTGGGAGAAGGTAAAACTTCGAGGAGAGGAGCCAGGTGATGAATGGAGCAGGTGGTCGCCACCAGAGACCCGCGACTGCCTACTGTTGACCCTCCCACTCCATCCGTGCCGCATTATTTTAGCTTGTTTGTGTTTTTTGTTTTGTTGTTCTTTGGAAGGGTTACGAGGCTCTTAGTTGTTCTCTTACTTCTCCTTTAACTGAGGAAGGAGCAGGAGTTCCCCCCCCATCATGCCACACCTTCCTACAGAAGGACCATCGAGAGCCATCGCTGACCAGCTGCATCACCGTGTCCTGCGCAAGAGACTCTGCAGCGCATCGCTGAGAGGCCAGCTGGGAGGAGGATCATTGGTTGTCCCCCCCCCCCGGTTTTGGACATTTCACTAACAACCCGCCCTCACCAGCAAAGCCATCGGATTGCAGATGACCACATCCATCCATCTCACAGCCTCTTCAGGCCTTGCTGGCCGTCGGCGGAAGGAGACTGCGGACGTCCCGGAGGTCCAGAAACCAGCGAGGTCGAAGGAGCAGTGGTTTCTTTTCCACCAGGCTGTCAGGGAGACTCGACTTCCTTCAACTTCCGCTGCTCTACCGCTCACTCGCCTCCCTGCTTGCCTACCACGCCTCCCCCTCTGGCAGCAGACTAGGACTGCCCCCCCCGGTAGTATCTTTTCTATTATTTTGTTTATTGCATGTTGCACCGGTGGGTCCGAGAGGACTGAATTGCAGTTTGTGCTGTATGGTCGTGCATGGTATAGCACATCTTGACAATAAAGCTGACTTGAGCTTAATTGCTTAACTTAAAATGAAATTTGTTACCTCTGACCGACTGTGCGTTCATTATTTTAAAATACCACGGTTACTGCTCTGCCGAGCGTAAAGATAACCTTTTAAAATCGTTACCTTAATTTTAATTCTTTTACCTTAACTTTAATTTGGTGGTTTTTAAGAGGTCCGTAGGCCTCAGCTCAACCTTAGATGAGCGTTGGTCGGGCCCCGAGTTGGTTTTTAATTTATTCCACCTCTTGCCAACAGCCATCAATATCAGAAGACCAAAAGTTTGCTCACAGAAGTTGTCTGTCTGTATGGTTTGGTGGCCAGAGATAAAATGATAATGCTGATGAAATAGTTCCTTCAGCTTCGTAGTTTGATGCTTCCTCAAAATTTGGGTCTTGGGACACTGAAATGCAGAAAGGGTCATGTGGTTAAATTGATAGTTCATGAGTATGTCTACAGAGTTGGTGTTGGTTTAAAAAAAAAACATCCAACAGGCATGAATTTCCTGGATTACAATGCTTTTTTGTGGCTTTGTACCATTACACCGTGTACAGAGACCAAAAGCCCGTGACTCAATGTCCGATATCTGAAACCTAACAGAAAGAAGGAATGTAAGAAGTACTGATCTGAACATGAATTAGGGGAGACTAGAAGAGAGTAATCTGAGAATGATTGTCTGCTGGTGAGCAGGTACATACAGCTGCATGTTGTCAATCAGCATTTACAGTGGCACTGTGTTTTGTTTGAAAGATGAAGTTGAACAAAGAATTTTGGAAGCTTTGTATGTACGTGCACACCACTGAACTCGATGGCAAGATGCAGAAAATCTTTTCTGAATGCCATTTATTAGCTTGAGTCTCAGGTTTTTTTGGACACTAGAAAGGAACAGGAGGATGGATCTTTCTTGCAAGTTTTGTGCAAGAAACATGGTATTTATGGAACAATAGTTCAGGCAACACTGTTGCATATAAGTTGGGTTCTGCGTTCTCTCGTCTGGCTGTGAACGTAGGCTGTTGTCTTGAGGAAAGCGGACCACACTGACAAAAACTAAGTCAGAGAGTGCCCCTGGCTGTGCTTTTATCATACTTACAGATACACATTACACTACAGGTCTCTGTGGCTGTCGTGTTGGGGTTATTTAATGAAAGAAAAGTGAATCCCATTACACATTACTAGGTGTACCTTTTAAAAAAGTAATGCCGTTACTTTACTTTGTTACTCGCTGGCTTGAAAGGTAAATTTAGTTACACTACTAGTTACATTACTTTTGGATTACTCCATTGACATGCACGATGCACCATACCTTAATTGCCCAGATTAACACTATAAAATTAAACAAGATGCCTAGCATGAATCTTTATCTAAAAAAGGAGGACATGCCAACACGACATTGCCTCAGTATTTTCGAAAAGACGGCGCATTCCACCGTGGAAACAGGCAACATTGCCTCCAACAATATATGCGTGCTACCAAGCCTATTCTATCTCCGCTTTTGTTGCTAATTTTCAAGCCTTGGTCTGTTTTTTTGGTGTTGGACTCGGCAGACATCTTCTCTTCAGCATTACTCTCCACTCTGATCTTTTAGCAGCCACTAGTTGCAGGTGCTTGGTCAGGTTAGAGGTTGGTGTTGGCAGCGGTGGATAAGCTGTTTCGTGCCCCGGGCACAGCTTACATTTCACAGTCAAAAATCTTTTTCTTTTCTTTCTACAAGTCTTGAAAGTAAGTGCCGATTTCCATCTCTCAAATGATATGTTTCCATTCTGTCGCCTCTACTCTCGGTTCCTCGTCTTCTCGTCTTTCGCGCGGTCTTCTGCTCTGCTCGAGGTCACGTCCACACTATGGTCCGTGCTATAGGTGTCACGTGACGTGACGTGAGTGAGGTCAAACCATATGGTCAAACGAGGGTTGCGTAAGCACGCATAGAAAGAACGTTTGATTTGTGTTTTCGGTCCTCCCAAAGAAGCGCAAGTAACGAGATCGTTTATAATTCGTAACTGTAATGTGATTACTGACGTTATCAACGGTAATGCTGCTGGTTCTGTCACTGGCCTTCAAAAAGGCAAAAACATAACATTTCAGAGCTGTTTGTGGGTTTTTTTGTTTTTTTGTTTGTTTGTTGAAAAACCATTGGCCAGAATTTCATTCTGTGTGTTGTGATAAATATTCAAGTAGGAATGAAGTGACAAGTGACGTGAACTAGGGCCGGACTGTCTATTGTGTGCCTTTAATAAGAGCAAATTGAACGTTTTATGTAAAGAATGCTTCTCTGGAAATGTTAGTAAAGTAGTCCTCTGTTTTTTCCCTGTAGGGTAAATGTTCTATGTATGTCTACCTGGCTCGATAAAATATATATGAATATATGACCCACCTGCAGCTTAAAACACTATTGTGTAAAGTGTGTCGTGTTATATTAAGGGAATTTAGAGCTAGGGAACATAGGACCCTGACAACATATGACTGAGACTCTGTTGGGGACTGACTCATCCACTGCATGAGAGACAGTTCAGAATGCTTAATAATATATAATAATTATATTATTATTATATATAATATAAAAATTTTAATATAGAATTCCTTTTCTCTTGCAAATGCAAAACACACTGTCAGAATCTTTCAAATTAAGCTGAATTAAATCATTTAATATCTAATATGTTTTGGCTACGCCATCCATCAATCAAAGAATGTTTTAAGCACATATATTCTGCTGAGTGAACTGATATTTCTTCATGCAACAATAAAAGGCATTGGAACAAGTTGGTCTGTCATAAATATTTTATTACAGTGAATGCGTGTATTGCATCTCAAAGAG